CTGTAGTGCTGGGTATTGGGTTAATTGGTATTCTTGGATTTAGCTTGACGGCGTCATTGCTTTTGTGCGGCCAGTACTTTGCTGCCTTTCATCAATTGACGGGAACTGGAAGAAATCCTTTGCGATATCTTGGCATTGCCTGATTGGGAATCGACCGCGTCAAAGTAATGATGGGGATGGATGGGGCGAATTATTTAAAAAAAGAAAGATGGAGGTGAGGAGTGTTTATATATTTATATATATTTATATTGTAAAAAGAGAGGGGGGGGGGGGGGGGGAAAACATTGGCGGACGTGATTCCTTTAGTCAATGTTGTGTTTCTTTGCGTGCGTGATGCCAACGAGAATGTGTGCATGCTGGCTAGGAGGGGGAGGTGCTATTATAATTTTTATTACTTTACATAAGTGAATGTCTGTGTTACCCGACGCCGGTAACAATTTCTCCTTTTTTAGACCCTTGCTTTTTCTTTTATGCATTTTTGCATGCGAACATTTTACTTTTGCAAATTTGGTGCTTTCTTCCTTTTTGTTGTTGTTGTTTTTGGTTTTGCCTTCTAGTGAAGTGCTTTTCTGTTTTGGCTGGGCGGGATACTGCCCATTTTGTATATACACACACGTATATACATACATATAGGAGAAGCGGCGGCAATTGTTAAGGGTAAGAAGAAAAGTAAACGTAGTATTCCTGCGCACTCCACTGGGTAGGTATCATATTGGTGTGCCATGGGCGAACAGTTGCCAACGGTGGGCCCTTCACGGCAGCAGCCGCTACCCTCACAATTATCATCTCAAATTCCTCCACTTATGTTTTATGATGCAGAATCCGTGCTGTGTGCACCAGTGACGCCGCAACAAGTCATTTCCTTTAATCCACGTGAGAAGGGTCCACCCTCACGCGTTATGCCTGACGGAAGTGAGTACTACGGTGATCTTCTTCTTGATCAGCCACATGGTATTGGAATCATGCTGTTTAAATCCTCTTCAAGCTTTTATGCAAATGGTGACCGGTATGGGGGGGGCTGGAAAAATGGTTTGTTTCATGGCGATGGTATCTTTGTGACATCTTCCTTCACATACCAGGGCAGCTGGTTCGAAGGTCAGATGCACGGGAAAGGGCTAATGACTTACAGTCGTCGCATTACGGATTTAATGCTGCGCGGCATATCTGTTTTTTCGCCCTTTGACAAGACGCATGCGCCACTGGAGTATAGGGGAGATTTTCATTATAGATACCATCGCCATGGTCATGGGATCATGCGATATGCTAACGGCGATACTTACGATGGAGAATGGGGGTCAAACTGTCGTCATGGACGTGGACGTCTTATTACCGATGACGGTGAAATATATGAAGGTCAGTGGAGCAAAGATGAACGTCATGGTAACGGGAAAATCACTTATGTCAATGGTGGAGAGTTTAAAGGATCTATGGTGCGTGACAAGCGTCATGGCGAGGGAGTGATGATGTTCCCCAATGGAGATGAGTACTATGGCACTTTTTACAATGACAAAATTGAAGGACACGGTACAATGCGATACAAAAACGGTGATGTCTATGAGGGAATGTGGAAGGATGGCCTGCGAAATGGCGAGGGAAAATATTCCCTGCGGAAGAAAGGCGCAACGGTGGAGGGGCGTTTTGTGAATGGTTTGATCCAAGGGAGAGGCGTTGTACGGCATCCAGGGGTGTCGACATTTGTTGGTGAATTTGACCGGGGTGAACGACGGCATGGAACTCTGTTCTGGCATGACTCTGCACCTGGTGAGGGTGCATGTTATCAAGGGGAGTGGCTTGGAGAGACAATGCACAATCGTGGCCTATTGTGGTATCGTAATGGTGATTTTTATTTTGGACGGTTTTTAAAAAATAAACGTCATGGACCAGGAAACATACGCTACGCGGATGGTGGAGAGTACAGTGGCTACTTTGTCAATGATATGCGTGAGGGACAGGGCATCCTACAGAATAGTAATGGATCCATTCAGGCTGGAATGTGGCACAACGATGTCTTTATTGAGGGCTACGATGGCGAGTGGGATGGGGTGACGTTTAACGGTATAGGGCACCTGCTACTTCGTAAACCACCAGCTTGTGTGCCTGCCGGAGGCAGTAACAGCGCTACCGCCACATCCATTGGGACGAGTGGCGGTGGTAGCGGTGGTGATGTTAGCCCAACTGCCGCTACGACGTCTGCCGCTTCTTTCACAGGCATGCAGCCAACGTTTGAGCACTTTGGCCTTTTCCTCCACGGTGTACGTCATGGTGCCGGTGTTCTCCGGATTGCTGGGCATGTTATTATGGGGATCTGGAAACACGATGTCTTGTCGTGCGAAACGGGGTCGTGGGAGTTTCCCTCCGGTGATTTGTACTTGGGTGGGTTTAAAAATGGTCTTCGTGAAGGTCCCAAGGGTCAGATGTGGTTTACAGATGGTTCTTTTTTTATGGGGAACTGGCAGCTTGACGCCCCTCTGGGAAACGGTTCGTTTTATGCAACCGACAAAAGAGAGCCCATTTATGCTCCGGAAGAAACCGTCGCCGATGCAACTTCTCCCGCTGCTGCTGAAGAAGAGAACACACACAGCAGCAATTACTCGGGAGTAATGAACCTCTTCATTAACCTTTTCCGCCGAAAGGCGTTGCCGGAGAACAAGGAAAAACGACGCCCCATTGGCTTCCGGGAGCACTTTGTACTACAGGGGGAATGGGATATTGCACGGCTTCCCTACGCCATTTACCAAACACTCATGTCACGACTCATTAGTAGTTCGAGTTTGATCGCCACCGGTGATGGTGCCGGCGGTGGGAGTGAGGGTGGCGGTAATAGTGGTAGTAACAGTGGAGGGGCGGTGGCGGCAGGTACGCTGCCGTCAGGTAACAACAACGGTAGTGGAGTCAATGCTTTATTTAAGCCTCCTGCGATGATCCCAGTGGGTGTGCAAGAAAAAAGTGGTTTTGTTTTTTTTAAGTCTGGTATCTGTTTGCGCACGGAATGGTTGCATAACCACCCGCGTTTAATGCTTCCGCACCGGCCCGATGCGCCCTTGTACAACAAGATCCGAGGTGTGATCGTGACTGATGACAGAAACCGGGGCGGTACAGGGGGATCAAAGATCTGCAGCTTCTGTGAAAAGCCTTTTACGTTTTTCCGTAAGGAAACCCAATGCACATTTTGTGAACAACTCAGTTGTACTTCCTGCCTACATCCTATCGAGGTTCGCGGTCGCCCGAAAATTGAGGCACTGTTGCGACTGCGGATGGGCCAGAACTCAATGAATAGTGATGCTAATAACAATAACAATGCTGCCACGGGCGACACATTCGTCCTACCGGCGCAAATGCCTGCATGTGTGGACTGCGCGCGAGTGGCTTTGCTCGGTTTGGAGTTCAACGTTATCTGGATACCGATGCATTACCTTTCCGTTTCAGAAACAACCACGAGTTCAAATGCATCGACAGACGAAAAGGAGACGGAAACGGTAACCGCGACCATAGCATCATCAGAGGCATCTGATAAAGCAGAGAATTCACTTTTGAAATTTTCTTATTCCATGTACTCCTCTTCGTTGTGCTCGAACGCACCGTATGTTGTATACGAGGGCTACACTTGTAATTGTATTCCACATATCTACGGTTCTTTGTGGTGGGGAAAAGAGGGTTATTATCTTGGCGCTTTTCATGAGGGTCGCCGTCATGGCAGAGGCGTTCAAATGATGGCAAATGGAGAGAAGTACGTGGGAGACTTTTCGAATGACGAATGGCACGGTATGGGAATTTACTGCGCAGATGACGGATCCGCTTACGAGGGAGTATGGGAACATGGGAAACTCACATCTTTACTTTACCACGGTGAGCTAGATGAGCAATACCGGCGTCACGGCAGGGGGCAATCATATGAAGCGGACGGTAGCCGCTACAACGGGGAATGGCAGCACGGTCAGCGGCATGGTACTGGGATTTTGCAAATGAAAGATAATGTTGTATATAGTGGGGATTTTGCATTTGGTCGCATCGAAGGTGAAGGGAAGCTTTTGATGGAAACAAGCGTCTTCTATGGCAGCTTCCATGCCGGTAAAAAGCAGGGAAAGGGATCTGAACATTTTGGGGATTGTGTTATTGAGGGAGAATGGTATGATGATGTATTGACTGGATTTGTACGCATCTATGACGTCCTTACAGAAACTGTTTATGAGACGACATATCAAAACGGTAATGAGCGCGATGACTGTTTTGTGCCACCTGTCATGGTGGACGATGCCTACTGTCAAAACTGTGCCCAATGCCATGCCACATTCTCACTCTTTCTTCGGCGGCATCATTGTCGCTTATGCGGAGAAGTTGTCTGTGATAGCTGCTCACAACGCCGGGCCTCGATGCCATTGCACTTCAAAGCGACTGGTACAAGCCGTGTGTGTGATCGCTGTTATCGACGCATGGAGGAGCGCCGTATGCTTGGCATTCGACGGTATGCAAACGGGGAGGTGTACGCCGGCTGCTGGACGTGTGGACGATGGGTGTCGCGTGGTCTGTTTTCCCGCGCAGATGGTAGCGTTGTCGTCATGGATCTTGCCGGATGCCCGCTGGTAAACGGACAAGATAAAACTTCATTTGCAAACACGGAAAGTAAACTGGAGCTGCCATTGGATGCATCACCTCCGGTTGAGGAACTACGCAAACTTCCACCTTCTTCATGCACAGAGGTAGACGCTTTCACGCTGTGGTGGAGTATGATGCTTTCGGTTGCCGAACTGAGCCTCCCGCTGGAGTTGACGCCATGTAGATCCTTCACACTCCTGCGTGCACCACAAATGAAGCCGCTGCGACTCTTCCTTGAAAAGGACGATGCCAGGGATGATGGTAATGATGACGGCAGTGGTACAAGGGGAAATGATGTTAGGGATGC